ATATATATATATATATATATAAAAAGACATTTTATGTTTAACGTTCTTTTATTATAAACAGAGCATTTACTTAAATACGTGTATCTATAAAAAGAACGTTCAACATAAAAATATCTTTAATAAATAAATTGTCGGACTTTGTCCATTTCTTAATATATATATATATATATATATATATATATATATATATATATATATATATATATATATATAAAAAGAGTGTGAGAGGGAGAGAAAGATTATGGTGAACCAAACGGTCAGTGCTAAGTTATTTTAAATTTTAAATCCATTTTTAAATCTACAATAACTTTGAGGATATGGCATGTCATCAGCATGTCATAATGTATGAAGAAACGAGTTAAAACCTGAGCAAACTACTCTCTCTTATCAATATTACCTGTAAAAACATCAGTAGGAAAAATAAGTTAACTAAAGAGCCGAGACTGATACAATGCTGTCAAAGAGACCAAAATATTTTCTTATTATCTTTTCCCGGGTTTGGAATTCAAGATTTTACATCTAGCGTGGCTGCCCGACAAGGCCTAATATCCTCGTCTGTCCTAGCTTATTCTATCCTTTCTTTGGCGCCATGCGTAATTCACGCTTGTGTTTTCATGACTTTTTCGATGAATGACTGACTTGGCAGAAGAATTCCCACAATAGGCTGACGTTACTTGTTGTGATAGACTGGTTGCGAATCAAGCTATAGGACCCCGTTTGTTCAGGTATTAATCCAGGAAGGGGTATAAAAGATAGATTCATACCTTTCGAAGGGTATTTTGCCGTAAATGAATATAACAAACTCGACAGAGATTCGAATTCTGAAATCTGAGTCAAGCTATAACACCTTAGGGATTTGGGTTTACCCATGGAGCCTATGGGAGCTGCGTTCACCCTTGGTACCAAAGACATATGAGTTTACCCATAAAGCATCTGAGTTTACACTTGACAGCTAAGGGATTTGAGTTTATGCACTGCAACTAAGAGATCTGAGTTTAATCATGACAACTAAGAGGTTTGAGTTTACGGCTAGCACATAAAGCATTTGAGTTCACATTTGGCACATAAGGGATTTAAGTTTACGCATAGCACATAAGGCATTTGAGTTCACATTTAAGACCTAAGGTTTACGCATAGCACATAAGGAATTTGAGTTCAACTTCGGAACCTAAGGGATTTGAGCTTAAGCATGACACCGATGGGATCTGGTGCCTAAGCGATTTGAGTTTACGCAATGCATCTAATTAATCTGAGTTCACCTTTGGCACCTAAGGGATTTAAGTTTACGCAATTCACTTAACAGTCATAGCACCTAAGGGATTTGAGTATACGCATGGCACTTTCGGGATCTGAGTTCACCCTTGGCACATAAGGGATTTGAGTTTACGCAATACACTTAAAAGTCATGGCACCTAAGGGATTTGAGTTCACGCATAGCACTTTCGGGATCTGACACCTAAGTGATTTCAGTTTAGGCAATACACCTAACATAAAGGAATTGAGTTCACGCATGGCACTTTCGGGATCTGAGTTCTCCCTTGGTACCTAAGGGATTTAAGTTTACGAAATGCACATAAGGTATCAGCAATAGCATCTACGGGATTTGAATTTACTCAATGCACCTAAGCGATCTGATTTTACTTTTGGCACCTAAGGGATTTCAGTATAAACATGGCACTTAATGGATCTGGGTTTACCTATGGCAACTAAGGAATTTCAGTGTACGCATGATGACACCTCAAAGATCTAACTTCACCCATTTCAACTCAGGGATTTTCACTTGCCGATTCCATTTGCTGCGCCGAAATCATCACCCTAATATTGATATGCTATCAAATATACTTAATTTGAAAGATTAAAAAAATGAATCGTAAGTATTGGCTTGCATCCTGATATAAAATATTATCCTATTTGTGTGACTAATTCATTCATTATGAGGTTCGTATTTCAAAATAGAAAAGAACAGTGAGTAAATTCAAAGATTTCAAAGAACAGGGTGTTAAAATTGAAACAAGATGATAAATGTTGAAAAAAAAAAAACACCCGCAATAATTTCAATAAGCTCTTTTCCAATTCAGACAAACACCAACGCACGTGAGAAACCGTATCCTAAGAAATCTTTAAAGAATGTAACGACGCCTTCAAAAATCAACTATAATAATGAATTTCTGATCTTTGACTGGATTAATCGATATATCATCGAAATTTTACCTTAAATATCTTTGTTGTCGTCTAATCTGGGTAGCTTGATATGGTTTTCAAAATGTCTAATTACAAAGACAAAAGAGCTAAAAAGGGAGTCTACTATTTTTGCCACACATTCATATATAATCTTACACGCAGACAAACAGATTATTAATCGTCTTTGCTAAATTAAACTTCAATTCGGCTTTCCTTATCTTAATATGGTTCATATATGTAAGATAAATTAGCTTGTAGCGGGCGGCCGTCGGCGCGTGAAGGGGCACTGACATGAGGTTTTCAAATTTTAGCAGAGACCGTTTGATTCGTTTCTCTTAATGGATAGCGAAAAGCGGAGGATGGAAAGCAGACAATGAATAGGACGTTGTAGAGAGCTATGATCGCACACCTTCTCAACGGGCACAGAACGTTGAAGATGAAGATAACCTATAAACTATTAATGCCCACCTTCCAAAAAGAATGGAACAGCAAGTATTATTTTGTTAATAAGCCTTGCATTTCCCGATACAATGCATATAAGATGTAATCTTCGTTCGAAGGACCTACTGCAATTCTACCTCAACCGAATAGGGCCTTATAAGCATTCAGAATACCCATTGTACGAAGATATACTTACAAATACAAACTGCTTATATTCTTGAGAGAAATAATCGCTTCAGTTACATAATAGTTTTTAAAACAACGAATTCTATACATACAACATATGAAAGCACGGGCTATACCCTGCTTTCGTCAGTCGCCAACCAGGAGTGGTAACACACCTTCGGTGACTAAGGCGGTTCTGCTAACCCAGGCGCCACCAGCAGCTTAGGACATCGAACAGGCCATTGTTCTTGTAGACGTGTCAGTCTCTTGCGTTTTCTTTTCAAAACGTTGTGTTAACATACACAACACGCTCGTAACGACCGATATCAATGATGTAGAATAGAAGGTGAACAGATGGGTTTCATGTTGGAAGTAGCACTGTGTTGCGAATATGGTTTAAGTTTATTTATTTGGGATCTTTACCAGAATCAACTCGATGCCTGTTGAGCTGTGGTCTGGAGATGATTTGAAGCATGTTTTACGTTTCGGCCATTTAGGCCCACTTCCATAATGAAGGAAATGATTGACGGTCCAAAGAATCCACTGCACCCGACGTCGATATGTACCACAGGATAAGGGCATCCCTTTCCCAATTAATCTAGGATTAACTCGATTTACATTTGTTCATCCGATACAAAGTGCAAGAATCACTCATGTAGAGGATTGGTGAATTGGGTTGTTGAAAGAAAATAACGGTTGATCCTCAAATTGAAGAGTTTAATATTGTACTTTTCAGGGACGTATCACGGCGGGAGTTTGTTACACGAAGTAACAATTCCTGGCAAGAAACTATCCGAATGCAAATTTCTTCTTACCAATAAAATACAAAGGGCTCGACGATCTGTAACTGTCTGAACTGTTGGAACTCGGGAATATCGCAGAGCGGATCAATGTATCATGGAAATAGGCTTTAGATAGCGAAAGTTTTGAAGTGTTCGACAGCGAGAAGTGAGTTGTAGTGGAATAGGCTTAATCGCACATGTCCCGTAGATGCTTTTGAATTCTGTCACCAAAACAACATTATTGATCTGATTTGTCTCTTGCAAATATAGAGAATATAAATAGATAAAAGTAACTAACCATTGTTCCAGTATCCTTACCGATGCCTCGTATATATAAGTTCCACTGGGGAGATCTTGATTCGAAATAGACTTTCAAAACAAAGAGTAACCGTTAATTATGACAGTATAAAATTCGATGTATGTTTTATGATAAAGAAAGAGCGTCATCTTTCTTTATGAGATATTGAATCTTAAAAGGGAATTTTGACTTCATTAAAGTGTGAGATTTCGATCTGAAAAGAGAACAGCTTCCAGGCGCTGGTGATCTTTTTTGAAGTGCATCAATATACTATTATTCATCTGCATAGATATTTACTAATACTTTCAAAATGTTCTTAGGTTTATTGTTAATATAATATATTACTTTTCCCCTTTCAAAATAATAAGGCATCCAATGAGAGCCTAATTTAATTAACTAGCCAAAATATTAACTCGATGGCCATAACGCTAATATATTAAGTTGTTATTCATGCGTTTTTTCTGATTTTCTGTGATTGATCTCGATTTTTTATGATTCTTATTATGGTTTTGATAGATTAATTGATATTTTTGTTTCACAGCATATCAACACGTTATGGGTCATTTATGCCGAAATTTAATTTTCTTGGCAACTTTGAAGTAATAAGCATATTATACATGCCATTCTGCTTTCAAAACAGAATACATGATAGATAATACTCAGCTTTTTTGCATATACATATTTGTGTGAATATGATGACGAGACGTGATATTTGTTTTATATCGTTCTTTTGTTGAAATACAGTTTAATTTAGTTAGAAAATTGTAGGATATTATATGGATTAATATCATGAAAGAGTTCACGATTGTTGGTTGATTTTTTTAGCATCATTGGGTTATTCAATGCCAAAATATAACTGGTTTGAACATTATTTTATGGCTTCAACTAAATATATTTTGAATGCAATCTATGCTTTGAAGATAAAATGTATTTTTAATTACTTTGTTATAAAATGTATTCTTGGTCTTTTTGCTATATATATTTCTGGTAATTTTCTTTATATAAGAATGTTTTTCTGGTAATTTTATGCTTTCATATATTTTTATTTGAGGGTTCATTATTTGCCAATATCTGAGACCCTACCACTTGCTACCACTCGGGTCAGGGTGAACCTGGAGACAACAGCAATTAAGGACAGTTACTTGATCTATCTATCTATCTATCTATCTATCTATCTATCTATCTGTGTGTGTGTGTGTGTGTGATTACAATCGATTACTGCTACCGTATTCTACTTGGTTATTGTAGCCAAAACCACTTAGCTACTTCGTTCAAATATATCCCTTTCCGGAACTTATCAATATATATATATATGCACATACTAACACCCACCCACACACAATACCCCAAAATTGAGAAAAGTTTAAAATTATACAGAAGACATACAAGGATCAGATCAAAGACCTCATTCCTTCAACTTTCTCTGACCAATCCTAATTTTTATTACCCCTTAAGCAAAGGACAAATTTTCTACCAACCCAAACAGAATTTGTATTACTACTAGACAAATGCCAATGGTTAAACTTTAGAAAAAAGTAATTCCTTTAAATATGTGGAAGTAAACATTATTCGCTTGATTAAGCTCGCAAAATCCGAAACACTTGTAGCAAAAACATGGAAAAGAATGTATAACATATATTAAAAAAATCTACATTATAAGCAAAAACCTCTGAGGTTACTCTTTTCTCTTTGGCAAAAAAAGCAATAAAGCTTTTGAGGTGAGAGCGAAAATTGATTTTTTATTCAGAGAAGGCTTCTCTCACAGATAAATAGGTAAGAAGTCGAAAATTTCGAGACATGGGCTGCAATATTTGGTATAAAGACAATTAAAAACTGGCGCTGAGAGATGTTGACAGAAAATGAATTGGAGCGCTAAAAGTGACTCCTTCTACTGACAATAAACACTTGACTATTGAGAGCAAATGAAACAGAAGGAAGACTGCTCCAGAGTTGACAGCTGAATTTAATTCCTCCCGACAGCAACCAGTATCGCTCTCAAATGCGAAAAATCTACTTAGATCAGGGGAACTCAGATGTTTGATTTGGTTTATTTCGTTGTATGACATATGGATCTTAATGAGTTAATTAATGACAAGAAGAATTTTAGGATAGGTTCGTACGAAAAAGTAATCAGATTGGAGATCAGGTTTCATTGACAGGTTTTTATAAAGAAGTTTTTTGGGTTTTTTTTTAAAGAGTGTCAGATGTATTGCTTGTAATATTTTTCTTCTAAAATCTATTGGTGAATATTTTTACTTTTGTTGTGTTGACCCCAATTTGGAGGGTTAATTATTTGCCTATAGCTGGGACCCTAACATGTGCTCCCACCCATGGTCAGGGCAGACCTCGGAACAAGAGCAATTAAGAGCTGGTTCTACGCTTCTCAAAATCACCCGAGCAGAGGCCTTGCTCTCGGAAATAGTTTATCGTCATACCCAGGACGCAGACTCAGCTTCGGACATCCACCAGAGTTTCCTCTGGCTTCATCCCGACCGGGCATAAAATAGCCATCTTTCGGGTCCTTGGACGCTCGCTACTCCCGATTCGACCGAGTCGTACTCGGAGAAAAAAAGATTACCGACCAGGGGGTTGATGCCCCCGCGCGCAGCGCCTAAACTCGACGAAGTAAATCATGGCTAGTCCAAGTCGTGGAATTTCACCTTTAGGAGGGAAAGTTGGAGGCTGCACCCCGGCCAACTCCTCCAAGTTATGTCAAAATTACCTAAAGTTCAAAAAATAACAATATTTTCTACATTACAACTTTGTTGACCCAATCCAAATGAATCATTAATGGTTGAGCTGGATAGAAGAGTTACAAGACAATACCCAAATAATTATTTTCAAGTGCTTGAAGATGGCATAGGAATATATCTTCCATCTACATTTCTAATAATTGTTAGGAAGAATGCCAAGAATTTGTAAAGCAATAATTAATGCATATGGTTCTTTTATTGATGGAAACAAAAATGATGCTGTTGTATGATAATATTTTATAGTTAAGTACACTTGATTTACTGGGATTTCACAAAGGGTTCCGCAATTCGGTGAGCATTATGTTATTATCGCCCTCTTCCCTTCTTTTTTTATTGTTATTTTTTTTGTTTTTTTTGTAATTTGCTTTTATTTTTTTCCTCTATACATGCCTGTTGTAAATAATATCAGCGACGCAATTTAGTTTCTGGAAATTTATAATTTTCCCTGCCTTAACCTGCAAACACGATAGAAAAATGCTAAAGGTCCGAATTCCTAAAATTCTCGTTCTGTCGGTGGGGTCTGTAGAAAGGGTAAAACCCCACAATGAGGCCGCCAACATAGTGTTCTGTCTTGGAGAGATGAGTTTATAGCAAAACGTGCGGCACCTGCACGGGATAATCAAAGGCTGTATATTGATCTTCTAAGCGTAACTTAGATGCGGCACATGGCCGAAATAATGGGGTACCCCGTGAGTATCGAACTCACTATTCAGTTGTAACTGTTTTAACGAGACAAGCTTGCTAACCATTACACCACGTCAATCCCATTGAATCAGTATTGGATGAGCTCTGATAAGAGTTCAGACAATACCCAAATACTGATTTTCAATTGATTGAAGATGGCTTGGGAATATATCTTCCATCTACATTTCTGACAATTGTTTGGAATAATGCCGAGAATTTGTAAAGCAATAATTAAGGCATATGGTGGTTTTATTGATGGAAACAAAATATGATGCTGTTGTATGATAATATTTTATAGTTAAGTATATCGATATCTTATTCTTTATATACACGGGCAGTGCCGATAAACTCACCCAATTCTTCATAAGCTTAAACAAAGTACACAACTCAATTTTGACTATGAAAATTTCACAAGATCGGTAAATTTTTTAGACACCCGCATTTACATGGATGAAAACAGAAAACTACAAACGACACTAAACACTAAAATCACCGACACCCATAACAATCTACATTTTAATTTAATTCTCCTCACCTTAAACACTTCAAGGAGAACCTTCACTATTCACAAGTACTTAGACTCAGAAGGATATGTTCCAACAATTAAGAACTAAATAAAAACCTAAAATGTGGACATTCAATTACCAACACGTGGCTATAAACAACACCTTATCAGGGAACAAAAATAAAGCAATTTCCACACCTAGAGAAGACACTCTAATGTACAAGATTAAAGTAAACTCAGCCGCATTCCTCTAGTAACCACTTTCAAACTCACTCTGCCTTCACTATCCCAAATAATCAAAAGTCGCTGGGAAATACTACATCTCAAACCAGACCTAAAAAAATTGTTTGAGGAACCCGGCCTTCTAGCATATCGTAGCCCTAAGAACTTAAAGGAAAACATAGGAAGTAACAACATTTCAGGGGACAAGGTAATCCGTAATAAACTATCAACAAAAACAACAGGATTTTCCCAACCATGTGACAACAAAATATGCTTATGCTGTAACCACATTACACACGAATTCATTCACTAGCTCAGTCACTAAATCTACTTTCAAAATCTAAAACGAATCTAATTGGAGAAGTCAAAATGTAATTTACTTCCTAGAATGCACATTATGCCAGAAAGAATGTGTAGGAAAATTTTCATTACAGAATTAATAATTATGGCAATCGAATTAAGTCGGCTCTCCATGATAGAATTTACCTGTAGAACAACATTTCCGCCTACACAAACACGATTTTAAAATCCATGCCAAATTCACTATAATTGTGAGAATAGAAGACTTCAGAACAGATAGCATTAGACAGATTTTAGAAGGACATGAAAATAAGTGGATTCGACGTCTGAGATCGCTTCATCCAGACGGGCTTAATCACAACTTTAACACTATAGAATTAATATATAAGCACACAAATCGGGACCTGCCCACATTTCCCACCCACACAATACAGACATCCTTGCGGAGGTGTTGAGGCCTCATACATATACTCACATCCATAATAATATACACACATAATCATACTCACTCACTCCATAATGAGCCAAAAGATAACGCACACCCATACTAATATACACACTTACACACATCATACTCACTCACTCCCTAAGAACCAAATAACACACACTTAACAAAGACACATCCCCTTTCCAGGAACCAATAACACTGTCAAAATGACGAAGGGAATTCAGAACAGCATGAATCCATCCAGCCCATATCTTAAATATCAACTTAAAAAGAGACTGTGTGTCCAATACACGAACTGATCAAAATTCTTTTTAAAAAATGAAAGAAAAAAAATAAAAACTACAGATAAAGTACAGTTTTGACATCAATCATTCATTTCTGTAGTTCACAGCAACTAACAAGTAGATTTTTTTTCACCTGATGATGGCTATTGCTGGCCGAAACTAGTCGAGGAATCTAAGTGGAATAATAAAAAGGAAATAATATTAATATACAACCCAGTGTATCTGAAGGTTTTAATTTTTTATTGTTCAACACACACACACACACACACACACGAGAGAGTATATATATATATATATATATATATATATATATATATATATATATATATATATATATATAGAGAGAGAGAGAGAGAGAAACGAGGTGAGAGAAATTGATTCAAAATTCTCAGCTTCTTAAAAATGCCAAGATGGAGCGAAAGGAATATAGCTTCCGACACTGAGAGCTGATCGTATTTTAGAAATGACTGGGTGCGTCAAAATTACTTATACACAAGCAGCAGAACAAATATAAACTTACCAGAGTCAATCCAACATTTCGATCCTAATATACAGCATCTTATTTGAAAACAGCACCAATGCACTACAACTTCAACATAAAGACCTTGTATGTTGAATTTAAATAAAGCTTGTTTTGAGGAATATTTGGTGCTTAAATTACACAAACACACAAATACACGCACACACACTCATATATATATATATATATATATATATATATATATATATATATATATAAACCTGGCATCTCGGTCTTACTCTTTCACTGACGAAACAGTTAAATGTAACCTTATCTTCTACTACAAAAGATTCTCTATCACTTCTCGACAGTGACACTCCCTTCCTCTTTCTTGCTTCCTTGAGAACTATAATCTTCAAAAATTTAAGTGTAATGTCAATCGACATCTTCTGATGCCTTGATCTTGATCCCGTCGTTCTTTTTATCCTTTCCTCAAACACGCCTCTTTACTCTTGCTTATCACTCTCTT